TAACGCTCAGTGGCCCCCACTCCATCCAGCTCACCTCCACATTGATTGCAGCTTTTTCTGCAGTTTTTAAGCATCCATAATCTGTTGTTTTCACATTCTCCAGCGTAAGCCCACCTTGAGCAGCTTGGGTTTGTATCAGTGCAGTCTGCGAGGAAACGATTATTTTACCTATGGGTGTTACAGGGTCGCAATATTCGTTTTCTTCCTGAGCACAAAAAAAAAAACGGTTTTCTCTATTTTTCATCAATAGTGTTGGTTATGCTTGTTTCCCTGCCTCAAATTGTACTTATGTAATTGTAATTATGAGCATTTTTATTGTTTTTTTTTATTGCTATCGTAATTATTGTTACCGTTATGATGACGATGATGATAACTTTCTGAGAATGTTCGCTATTCCTAGCAGAGGTGTTTTCTTGATTGCCAGCAGTTTAATGATTTTCTCATGATTGTTATAATAGTAATTATTATAAGTATGATTGTCATCATCATTATTGTCATATTCCTATTCTAAATACCCAATAGATGGGCTTTGAGGTTTAATGTATCATGGTTTGATTTACATTGTGAAGCCTTCTCAGCTTGTTATGATGCGATGATGCGCTCTCGCTTATTTCTTCCCCTTTCAGGATCAACCCGATTTAGCAAATCGCTTACGGGACATTCGCATGTTTACGGTATGATTTAGGATTGTCTATGCTCATCTACCTTTTGGTGCCTGATGATGCCGGCAGCTGACGCAACAATTCGGTATCATCCACAGCGGGTTCTTTTCACACTCACCAATTGCCGCCCATCCCTCGCAACCAGAATTTTGGTCGGTTTTACACACTTGGAATCAATGAGATATTAGATCAAACATGAAAACACAGTACTGAAGAGTAAATTTACTCATTTCTTTCCGGAGAGGTATGATATCATAAAGTACGATAAAATAGTAATTTGTAGTCTTTGAACAATTGATTATGATTATGGCTAGGGAATGACCTTTAAAAAGTCGCTATTAAAAAAAAGTCACAATTATTGTTCGATAGATTTGAGAGGTGTTACATATTTCCTAATCACAGTCTATGGATCGAATCATACGCCCTAATTATATTTTCAATTTCGTCTCATTTGTGTAACGGAACAAACTAATCTAGATCAAAGGTAGCAACTTTTGTAACAATGAATGTGCACAACACTGCTATAGTACACTTGCAAGGGAAAAAAAATTCTGTCTAGTGCCTGAACAAACCAAACTAAATTAAAGGTGGCAACATTTTGAGAAATGATTATGCACTACAGTGTTAAAGAACGTTTGCAAAGGAACCTAATTAAACAATTTTTCGCAGCCGGCCATAGCTGATTCGAAGAATTGTTCATATTCAGTGAATGTAGGGTTTTTAGCCAGGCATACCTTGAGGCTTGGGTATGGGTAGAACTGCTATAGCATTTGGAGTCACAGTGGAAGAAACTATGAATAGACAATAGCAGAGCAAAGTTATATCTGACATAAATTACGTCTGTTGTGTGAGTTTTAGTTTCAGATGTTTATTTTTTTTCTTAAATAAATGAAGTGGAGCTTGCTTAGCCCCATAACTATACAAAATAGTAGTAACCCATCTAGCCGGAAAA